GCTGCTGACAGCTTTATAAACACATCTCTTTTAAATCTCCTCAGACACCGGTGCCATTAGGAAATCAGTTGTCCATTAACACATTTTAGTGCTTACATCATGTCAACCTTCGTGATGGTTTTTCGTTTTCTATTTCTTACTGACATGGAAAAACATCAGAATTACCAGGAGTTTGAGATTTGTAATATAATAACATGCTAACTTAAACTACATCGGAAACATTGTTATGAAATGCAAACACATAAGAATCCCCTTAGGAGAAACATTTGAATTTCTCCTATGGGGGATTAATAAAGGTACTGTATATCTTATATTATCGTATCTTATCTTACCTTAATAGAAGCAGGTGTTTGATGTTTGTAAAGTATTTCAGTTTAGCATGTGTCCTGACAAAATCTAATTTGTATTGTCTGTTTATAGTGACATTAAGATGTCTGCAATGATACCAAAGTGTTCATTAAGAAGGTTTACAAAGCTAACCCTGCTTTACACCCATTATACTGTAAATAATACTGAAGTTGCATAAAATAAAATCTGTTTCATTGTGATATCATGAAACCACTTGCTCAGTTGAGAAAAACGTTTCTATTAGACCATTTTAAGTAAGTTACTTACATTGTGCACCCAGACTGTGGAACCAAAGCAGAAATTAGTCAAAGGAAATCAAGCAGGGTACAAAAGAGTTTCTTTTATGATGAAACTGTTGCTGTTAAAGGTGCGTAACACTTTGGAGGATTTATTGGCAGAAATGGAATATAAATGAGTATTCCTAGGTATGGTTTCATTTGTGAACGAACAAACCAAACACTGGCTGTAGATAAGGACTTTCTGGAGTTTTGCGGCCACTGTAGTTTCTCCTACACGCTTGGAGCGAGACAGGGAGGCGAGGCAGCAGTGGTTCCCAACGTTTTTTGACAGCCCTGTTAGATCAACTGAAGTACACCTTCATCGACACGATGAAATGTGTCTTTAAACTGGATGTTATTCACTCATTCATTCAAAACAATTTCTACACCTAACACTTTCAACTGAACTGCCACTGTTGTACCATACTATCTCTCGAGAGGCAGAAACTGCACATCAGTCTGTTAGCTATATTTCAAACAGTTATCCATTAGCTAACGATTTTTAATCATTGGTCCAAGCAATTTAGCTGTTGGTTGTAATTATCTGTTACAATATAGCAATAGAACAGTGGTTTCTTATTTATTTTATTTGCCTAGTTTTTGTTTTAAGTAATTGCACCAGAGTTAACTTACAGTTAATTTGCATCTGTTGCCCCTGGGCAGGTTAAAAAAAAAAAAAAAAAGACCACATGATACACAAAACAGGACAATAAATAAAGGTCCATCAGTGTGAGATCATAAATAGAATCAATATTATAGTAAGAACAATAAATACAAAGCAATCATTGGTGGTGAATCATTGTGATGGTTTTAAACAAAACTAATGGCCCCTAATGGTTGTGGGAACTAACTATTTTAACAGTTTATCCATTACTTTTAACTATGTATATTGATATTTCAAATGTTTTTCATCACTTTTAGCAAACTTTGTCCCTTTTTTTTTTTTTTTTTTTGCTGTCTTGTTCAATCATTTATCCATTACTTTTTTATTTTGCTTATCAAAATGTTTTTTTTTTTAATTTTTTTTAGTTGAGCTACTGTACAGTGTTTCCATGTAACTTCTAGCAACTGCAGTAGTACCCAATGGGGTAAAAGTTGTTGGGACTCAGTGCTCTACAGTATGATGTCGCATTTAAGTTCATCCATAAACTTTCTGTAGCTTATGTTTTGAGATCTGACTTTTAAATGTCTTGCAAATTACTCATGTTTATGTATACAGTTGTTTATATTACTGTAGTCCCCCACTGCTTACACTTACTTTGCTCCCTCTGAATAGACACCACTACTGAATCAATGCATACATTTCTAAATATTCTAGAATTAGATATTATTTTAAATTCTTATGGATTGACAAGTAAATGGAAACCGGAATTCAGTAGTGATGAAAATGTGCTTCCTAAACTACTATGTTGCTGGGCTTTCTTTCAGGGCTGAACAGTTCAGGATTCATAAAGTTTCCTTTTCGCATCACCGCTCCTTCTATCCCTCAGTTGACCCATCTGTAACTGCTCCTGCTCCACAAGTGGATGTGCTACAAATCTGACTGCAACATATTCTTCAACTCAGTGTCTGCCCAAGAAAACGAAGAAAGGTAAAGGATGTTTCTCTCCATGAATGTGTAATATCCCAGACAATATCCCAGACTCTATTTTTATTGCGGTGACATTTAAAGAGTAAATCCACACCAAATCACATATGGCAGAAAAATGCTGCTGCGCTGATGCCTGTGGGCCTAAAGGCTGTTGCACGTCTGGCCACACCCTGTGATGTCACAGCGGGTGTTTTCAATCAGCTGTCAAAGGCAAAACACCTGCTGTGACATCACTGACTGGGATGTGCCCAGAGGTACAGCATCCTTTACCATTTGCCCCAATAGGGAGCAGTGCCGCTGCAGTTTGTGCCCATTTTTCATCCAGTTTGGATTTACTCTTCAAAGTGTGCACTGACAACTCTGGCTGAGGTTTTTTTAACCTGTTTTCTCTCATTAGATGTATCCCCATTTGTGTTATATACGTGTTTATGTGTGTGTGTGTGTGTGTGTGTGTGTGTGTGTGTGTGTGTGTGTGTGTGTGTGTGTATCTTTGCCCCTGTCTGGTGTAGTGTCTGTGTTTCTTTTCTTTTCGTACCTCCTGTGTTTGTGTGTGTGTGTGTGTGTGTGTGCGCGTGCGTGTGTGCTTGTGGGGGAAGGAAAGGTGCTCCAGGTGTGGTATGTGATAAGAGAATAGATGTAAATGTATACAGATCACATTCACACGCTGTGTTGTTGTGTGCTGCAATTGCAAACAAACCATGAGCTCAGAATTATAACATTCAGTCTGCCTGCAGAGTATTAAAGGTTTCCAGCATCAATAAAAGTAAATGTAGAAAGGTCTCAAAAATATGTTCTGTGAAAAATGTATTTAATTGATGCCCATTCAATGTGTTTACATGACTTGTCATATTTGGAGAAAAAAAAACTTTCTCATCAAAGTACGAGGCTGTAACATTCAGACATTCACAGGCAATGTGCTGGCCGGATACTACATGTGGGCAGACTCTTTTGGGGAATTCGGGAGAGTTCGAGGGCATTCTCTGCCTTTGTTCTGACGCACAGATTACCCTTGCCTTGTCCTCGTTCTCCTCTCTCATATTCAGATATGGCCATCAGGAAAAAGGTGAGCTGGAATCAAACAGACCTGGGCTCTTTAAACTGACTAATAAAGACATCAAATGTAGCAGTATTCCAGCCAACACTTGGTTATATCTGAAACAGACAATACCGCTGTTCAAGTGTGAGTCTGTCTCTGCTGTTTGGTTTTAAGAAGCACATGAATTTCAATCAATGACGTGTAGGAATGCCACATACCTGATGAAGCTCCTCTGAGAGATGAATAAGTTCACAATACACAGTCAGTTTAAGTGTAATTATTTTGAAACACTGCCTTAATTTCATATTTAGATTTATGTGATTAATTAAAAAAAAAAAAAAACAACTTGAGAGAAAATATTTAATTAAACGGTAAAACATCATCAAACTTCATTTCTGTTAATTGGCAAGAAACACGAATTTAAATTGTTTGCAATCACATAAAGCCCCATTCTAAATGAGGCTTTTAAACATTTAAATGAAACAATGATTTGACTCAATTGCTCGGTCACACTGACTGACTCAGTTTCCTAATTCTATGATTTAGTCGTTTATTGGCATACATATAAATGCTCCTCTAACATCTCCTTCCTCTCTTTCTACCTGCTCTATTCTCAGACAACTTATGGACCACCTGTGAAAATACTTAAACGTTATTAGTATGGTTGGTGAAGAGCAGCATAGCGGTGGCAGTGCGTGGGCGGGAGCTCTAATATGATTGGCTCAGGGACACTGTAAGCCTGAGTGGCAGCCCTTAATGGGAGCCCTGGAGAGGTAACCCAACAGCTGTGTGTTTGCAGCTAATGAGAGATGGGGGAGGAGTAAAGGATCACAGACTGGAAACACTCTGATAAACTCTTGCCTCAGAATGGCTGGGGAAGATAGGAAATCAAGTTCTCTCCGGAGGACATTGCTTAAGGCTTTCCTTTGTGACAGAACCCGTGTTTGACTCATTGCTCCTGGTCCATTGCTTATGCCTAAGCAGTTATGATCACTGGCATCAGTGTTTGGGAAGAAAGGAAGAGAATAACTGTGGCGTGGGATGGATTTCGCTCCCTGCTGAGCCATGCTGATTTATGGCCCTGAGCAAAAGCATTGTTTTTTTAATTACACTGCTGCAGTTTTAACAGATGATGTCAGACATAACTAGTTTATTCCGATGTACACCAACGGCACAGCCTTTTTTCCCCCCCCCAAGTGCAATTGATAGTCATTGTCTTCACTGGCAAGAAACCAACATTATAATGTGCATTACTCCAACATCAAGCAATGTTAACATTCAATTCCCCCTAATTTCCACAGCAGATGTAGAGGACTGTATTACTTCCCTTCCTTATTATAACCGCCTGAGGGTGGCGCCAAATGAATAAAATGTGGCCAACCACCTTCCATTTTAGGGCCATTAATTTTGCTCACATGGAATGCATATCAACAAGTAAACTGTCAGTGCGAGCTACCTGTTAACGTCAAATGTAGACAGGTCGCACAATCAGTGCATTTTCTGTCAACAGGAGGTCGTTTTGCTGCAGGAATAAAAAAGAAAAAGAAAAACAGAATGCAAGGAGGTGCACAGTAGCTGCATGATGCACACACTGAATAAGGTCCATTCCCCCCTTCTCTGATGTGACCCAGTTTGATGAGATCTTCTTAAACTGCAAGGAATCACACAATTTCCTGGTAGGCAGCCCAGGCATAATGTGATACTGAGTGTGAAGTTGCTGTGTGCTGCGGTGGATGGGAGCCCCACCTCCTCCCACGCTCTGATGAGTAGAGAGAGAGAAAGGGAGAGAGGGAGAGGAGGGGAGCAACTAACCTACCCACAGTATCTCACCACTTGCTCTCTGGAAATGCTTCAGATGGGCTTCTCTGTTAGAACCGGTTAGCTATTTCGTTGTTGTTTTTTTTACGTTGCAAGAATGGCATTCGTGTTGCCGTCGTTTGGACTCCCGGTGCGTCCTTAGAGTGCGCTCCAGGCTACTTAGAATCAGGGGAAGCGCTCGAGAAACTTGGACCGAAGGGATGCGCCAGCGAGTGCATATCTTGGCAGGGATCAGTTATTGAGGATCGGAAATGGCACACAGTAGGCTTTCCCCCACGGAATGAGACCCCTTGTTTCGCAGCTCTATCATAAAATAACCGAACCACAAAACAGCACCTAACTTCTCATATTTTCCACGGACATTAAAAAAAAAAAAAGAAATAAAAAGATCTTCTCATCCGGCGCCGGACGACGGTGGACACAGCATCCCGAATACATTCTGATGCGGAAAGTTGTTGATGCTGTGAATGGATTGTGTGGTCGTTGAAGTTATTTTGGTGTGAGCAGCAGTGTGACGGAGGTTTGAGGGTGAGACACCTGCCTCTGGGATCACCGGTGGACACATCAGCTGCGGACGGACTGGCTGTACGCTACAAGCGCTCATAGAGAAGTCTCTGGCTCAGGTAGGCCCGCCGGAATCAGCACACAATTCACCCACAAAGTTGTTCGGATCGATCGGCGTTGTTGGAGATTTGCGCCGCGATGCGAATTAAGTTTCTTCTTTTCTTCTGTTTTTTTTTTTGCAAACGCTGCCGACTTATCTGAAGTGTGTGTCTTAATAGCGCAGCGCTGATCCAGATAGACAGTTTATACAACAAGTTGCCCCGCACTTTATCACAGCCGCGGCTCTGCGTTACAGGTTGATAGGACACAGCGGTGCGGAGGTAACACTGTGCGTGTCACATCCCACAGCAACGATGCGCTGCGTGATTGATAAGACCATGCATTGCAATTAAAACACATCCGAGTGGACTTGAGGTCTAGCCTCCGTGAGTAACGGTATTAAGTCATTAAGTCTGTATATTATTGCACTCCACCTACAATATGAGTGCGTCCGCTCCAATCGGATCTGTGCTGGCGATCGGCTAATTGCATTTTTATTTCGGCATTATGATTCTGTGAAGCAGAAAATGTGATCCATTTGTGTCATCCCTCCCCTCGCCTTTTTTCTTTTATACCGGCTGCAAACATCGTGCTAATTGCCTCTATTAGTGGATCTTCATTCGGAAGCTGTTTACTCACGAATAACGATTTATTTTTATTTATTTATTTTTTGCGCAAATCATTCAGACGTACAGCTTGCCATGTTAATAACTAATCGACAGTGTCCCTATGAGAGCTTCGTGCATTTAATTGGAGAGAGAGAAAGAGAGAGAGTTGGGGGGGGGGAATAAAAAAAAATCTTTGATCAGCGCATCCGTACGGGTAATCTCCTCTGCTCTCCAGAGAGAGTCTGGGGTGTTGTTTCTCGCCACTCCACCGACCACCAGGCACATTTTAATAGTCTGCTCCACATAGTGATGTCGGTCTAAGTTCCCACACATACTGTAGTCTACGAGGCCGTCAAAACAGACCAGATCAAAACAGGCCCAGCAGTTGTACCCCATATCTGCCAAACTGCCTATAAGACAGAAAACCTGATGAATGCGATGATCCGAGTCAGCTGATTATGAAGCAGTTGTGTGAGATCGGAGGTTTTGCAAAATACAGACTAAATTGGTAATGCCAGTAATTCTTGTTGCACAAGTAGTAGTCTATCTATCTATCTATCTATCTATCTATCTATCTATCTATCTGTCCGTCTGTCTGTAAAGTGAGGAATAAAGGGCAAGGACAGGCTCTCAGTTACAGACGTCCCTCTGTATTTTCCCCTTCATAATGCTTTTCAATTGCCATGAAAACAGATAGTTGAACAGTGGTGAACTTGACTACAGTTACATGCACTGTGTCATATAATGGAGATGCTGAAGGACGGTTAACTGTTTGGTCAACATATCAAGTAATAGAAACTGACTCAACCGTTATGATAAAAAAGCAGTGAAATATACCAGTAAGAAAATCTAACTGAATCCTGGCTTCAGTCACATACGCATACCCACAATGAATATAAAGTGTATGACCTGTCAGTATGTTCATATATCCCTTTCAAAACACTCTGGAAATGCCTGTATTCAGCCTCTTTGCTTTGATCTCAGTGTATTTAATGGGATTTTTCAGTGTTAGGAGTGACCCTCCATTAGTGTTTTTTTGTGTGGAGCAGCCTACATGGATAGCTAAATCAAATGCCCATGGCCTTAGCAAGTGTTTCCAACCAAAGGCCAATGCTTTCTCATTACCAATGGCCAGGGTTTACAGTCACAAGAGGTGTGTAGAGTACCATTTTGAAGTGAATTCTATTGGTAGATCAGCTATAAGGAGGCCTAAGCTGTGATACTACCCATCATAAATCATGCTGGTGGGAGGGTAATGGATTTTACCTGTTATACTAGCTAAAGGCGCCGAGTCAGCCAATATATCAAATCAAATCAGTTGAGAAAATCATTAAATCATCCGTTATCTGTCCACACTCTAGCAACGCAGGGATACACATCTTACACTGGACATTCTCATGAGCTTGATTTGTACCCAGTAACAGGTGAAAATTCAGGTTCTGCGGAGGAACAAGCGGACTAGTGGTGCTGCTGGATCATAGTCCTCTCTGCAGTTACTGCAAAGCAAGACATTAGTCAAAAATAATCAGTTTAATTCCTATACTCTGATGGTTTCTTTTCCCAGACACAACCCTAACCCTTTGACATATTAGTAATTTACAATTATGGCTCAGTTGGTTCTACGCTTCAGTTATTTCTGCTGGACCTGTGGAGCGGCCAGCTTAAAGAGCAAGTGTCACCCAGTCAGTCACTGAGTTGACTCAGCCAGTAGATAGTCTGTCTCTATGGTAACCAGGACAGGCACACATGCTCTGCAACACAATTATATTGTTCTTCATTTTTACATACCTTTATGTTTATTGTACACTCACTGTATGCAGCCACATCTTTTCAATATCTTTTTCACTTCTCCTCCTTCAAACCAAATATCCTACACATCTTATATTTTTCAAAAAGGACAATTTCAAGGATAATATAGTACAATATGATTACAAACGAATAATGAAATGTTCCTGTCACATACAGGGAATGGATGATGATGTTGATGATGATAGACATGATGGACTGATAATGTTATTAACTTTGGCAATTAATAACTGAAATACATGGGAGTTAATGCAGACTTTACACACTGTTACTAATTTTACTAAGCAATGCTTTGGCATTTTTTACATATATTTCAAATGTATCTCCTGCACACAATTTCTATTCAATCAAACTCAACCTTTTATATTATAATATTATAATATTTCCACCATACAGTTTCCTTAAATAATCATTAACATAAATATTGATAAAAAATCAAAACAGGATCTAGTGGTTCTGACTATGTATGGTCTGGTATGTATGTATGGTATTTCTGTGATAACCACACAGCTATTAAGATTCAGTTAATATGGATGCTTTGTCTCCTACAACTTTTTGTCCTCAAAATTAATGTATGTATGTATGTCTATATATGTCTGTCCTCCCGCCTGTGAAATGCCAGTGTGCCAATGTGCAGAAGCTTTTTGGCAAAACCCCTAGGCAAAACAGTTTAGGATGATGGTTTTTAAAGTCAAAGTGTATGAACAGGATCCTACCATAGGGACCAACGTGATGCAGATAAATCTGCATTTATCTGACCGCCGTGTAAGCAAACAGCTGGGTGGCGAAGGAGCAGGTTTGCCGTGTTTGTAAGCTAAGATGGCACCAATGTCTCAGAGGTCATTGTTATGACTGGGTTCAGCAGCCTTGGCCTCATTACAGCAGAAAACTGCATCTCTCTTGAGAATGAGACAAACTGCACAATTTGCCACTGGAAGGGTCAGTGGTTGTAGACATGTAGAAGTTGAAATGTTCTCTTTAACGGTGGGTACAGCTAGCTGGGTGGTGCACTGTGTGAGGGCTCCAGGTGAGACTCAATCAGACCTTGCTGTTTGACTGATGTTTAGCTGCCAGTGAAGTCTTTCACCTTGTCCTCTGTGAGGAGCAAAGCAGCAGCACTGGCACCGGGCACTGAGCCTTTAGGGAGAGGTGGATGGATAGAGGATTGTAGGCAGGTTGCTAGGAGGAATTCTGGAGTTCACTGTCATTCAAAATGGCATTGGAGGAAATGGGTAGATCCACGAGGTAAGGGAGAGATCAGAAGCAAGAGAAAAGGAGCTAAAATGTGAAAAAACATCCCTTTATTTCTGCATCCACTGGTGAAATTCAAGTCTTCTCTCCTTTCCTTTTGAAGCTGCTACAGCTATTTCAATATTCTGATTGTTGAATGCTTTATCTTTGCTTTGTCCTCTTTTGCATATTTTGTATTTTGTAACTAAACAAATCCAATTTTCTTTCATTATTAAAAGGCTATAAGGTTATATAAACCAAAAAAAAATATCTATGCACTTTTTTTAAGGGATTTATGTATTTGTAGTGGAGAAAGGTGTGCAAGGTGTTTGACAATTTTCAGAACTGACATTTCACACAATATCCAGAAGCTTATGGAAACACATTTTGCTGGTTTTGTCTCTTTTTAACAGCAGTGCCTGGTCGTAAACAGTTTTTTTTTTTTTTTTTATAACACTCATGTATATCAATCACAACACTTCTACAATTCAGTGAAACTTCCACATAAGTGACAACACAGTCCAAGGCGACACAGTGGGCAGGAGTGAGAGCCACTTTCCCTCCTCTCTGCCACTGTTATCTATAAAGGTCATTGGCAGGTGAAGGGGTATGCTTGGGTGAGCTCCTCCTGCAGCTTGTGAATCCATGGAGCGATGGCCATGCTGAGCATGAGTCATGAAACACTGACTCTCTAGTCCGGTCTTGTACTTAGACTTGGCACCCCTGATGGTCTTAATAAGCTAGGTTTTGGCCAGGCAGCATTCTTGCGCGTGGCAAACCTACTCTGCGACATTCCTCTGGGTCTTCAACTCTATTGCTGAGCAGTTTGTGCCTTGACAGCATTCTTTGTTGCAAAGTTAAACATCTTCACAGGAGATACAGCAAATAGCAGACCCATCAGGCAGTTTGAGACTGGCTTTGAAGGTCCACCTCCATACTGTGGTACAGGCTGCCTTCAGTTTTTCTCGATGTTGGAACCATCTGGACCATTGCATGATCACAGCATGAAGCTTTGTGCTGAATGCTGCTTCACTGGTAGAGTTAAAGTTCTCTCCCCAGTCAGACAGTGGATGCCTTGATTGTATTTGGAAAGATATTTCTCCAGAATATTTGTTGCTCAGAAGCACCTCCATAATGTAGGTGTCTGGCTCAGTGTGTTTGTTGGTTTTTCTATTTGTGCAGGATGCTTTTTGTAGCATACAGTGCTGGAGGGAATTACAGTATGAGCCTTTTAGGCAACACAGAGCCCTAATAGCTCTGTGTAAAGGAAGTTCAGTGTGTACTGCACTCATACAACTTGTAGTACAGTAGGGGTCACCCAAGCATTAGCCAGGTCTAAGCCGTCCTTTGGCATAGCTACCACAAAGTAGCTCTGCGATTTTGTAGTTATTATGGGTAGTCAGCGCACAAATAAAAAAGTCTGCCGTGATTTTCTCACATAACCACCACTGTGCTGCCACAGTTCTTTGGTGTTGAGAGGGTGAGTTTTAAAGGTAGGAAAGATCTCAGCCTCACACTTCCTGAAGAGTTCAGTGTTGGAATCCTTGATTCAGTTATAATATCTGCCCAACTTGTTGGCATTTTTATTAAAAAAATCAGTCCTTGCAGACTATTTTGGAGTGGTTGGCCAGGATTGTAATATAACAGACACATTTCAGCACGCTGGAAGAACTAACTTCTTATTCCTCCCTTTGATTTTATGCTGAGTTATGTATCGCGATCTGCCTGAATCAGCTTGTAGTCTTGTGGGTCTACCACACCATCTGGGATGGCAGATGATAACCAAGTTTTTCAGAGAAGTGCTGAGATGCAGAAAATGTCACTCCTAGTTGTGTTCAGCAGTTCTAATTTGTCCATGTTGCTGCTCAGGTAGTGAACTTTGGTGAGACATGCTGTAGTCCAGTAGTGAAAAAGCTCAAGCACAAGTTCCCCATTTGCCACTACCTTACAGTGCTTTCAGATGAGAGGAAAAACACTGATGCTGTCAGGCTTTTGATACAATATTTGTGAGATAGCTGAGGAATATGAGATAAGAACCCAAAGGCACGGTGTCAATAATATTCAGGCGATAAGAGATTCTCACTGAGTGATGGCAAAACGCGTATTTCACAAACAACATGAATTTTAATGTAAACGTAAACAAAGAAAAAAGAACACCAATTCGTTGTGGCTGCCAGGCACAGTGCCATCTGTAAGACAGGCATGAGGCCAACTGGAAGACATTAAGTCATGAGTGTCATCAACCATAACAATCATGTCACTATCAAAGCACCCATATTCATTCTAGTGACTGTAATGGCAGGGGGACGGTTCAGCTAAACAAAACATTATGGTTTTCATTTTTAAATGGCCATTTTGTGAAAATAATTTTGCAAACTTAAATTCAACAGAGAATATTTTAAATAAGACAAGAAGAAAAAAGGATGCAAACTGTGTCAAATAGGCTAAAGGACATATCATATGATCACATTATTGAAATGAGAATGCAAAACAAGGATTTTATCAATTTTAAGAGATTATAAAACCAGATTTCTGTATTTTACATACCCGTTTAAAAGCTTGTGTTTAATGCAGACAGGGTCAGCAGTATGAAAAAAAAAAAGACGACGTTTTGATGTTAACTGTCAGTTGCAGGTAGAAGAAATGTGTTCTGGAGTGTATCCAATGATTATGTTTTTACTCCTGCCTGCCCTTTTTCCTGAACACATGAACACACAGAAAGCACACTCACTGTTTCACGCCACATTGACTAGAGGCTCCCCCTGCAAATGTAAAAAGGGACACGTCGATAACCGAGCAATTAGTGCATCAATAACCTGCACTTCCAATTTTAATGTATTCAAAAGGAATTGGATTTCTCATTGGATTTCTGTATATTTGTGTTTTGCTGTCTAGCTTAATACAAGTTTGCTTTGCTCCTCTCTGGAACATTGTTTCATGTGAGGAGATGCAGAATGTACTGATCTGAGCTCAGATTAACACTATTTGCTCATATTCATGTATATTTCTGTCAACTGCACAAACTAAGGATGCAGCTAAGGGCTTCTATGTCTAAGGTGACATAATGCTTCAACTCTTTAACTTTAACTAAAAGTGGTGATGCTTACACGCTAACATTTTTGAAGGCTTGTGCATATTTTAGTTATATGATTCAAGAAAGTTTAGAACATCGTTCAAATTATGTTAAGACACTAAGAAACAGTATTTAATATATGCTAGTCTTGCCTGGCAAATATGCAATCAATTTATTAATGTTAGTATCAGAGTCATTATCAATCAATATATTGAACTGGCACATCACATGCAACACTAAACAATAAACTGTGTACACAACATTCTGCACTGAAAGCACACATAGATTTGAACATTACAGGATAAGACAACACACAAAACTGGTAAAATGTTGCCACCGCTAAGTTTTCCAGAGCACTGGACCTTGATACTTAACCTCAATGTCTGCTCCCATTTCAGTTCAATAGAACTCTACACAAACACACACACACACAGGCACACCCACACACACACATACACTCTATCTTTCTCACTCTTTCTCTCTCTCTCACACACACACACAGGAATAATTATAGTCTAAAATCATTGTAGCATGAAAAAAACTAGAATTCTTTAGCTAGAGGGAATACAGATCAAAAAAGACACTAAAATAATGGGTCATAATTACAGAGTTGAAAGGTTCAAAATCAAACATAATGATTACAGTGTTTGAGCTAGCCAGTAGCAATGGAGCGTGGATGGCAATTTTTGCATTGTGCATTGTTGCAAGCTGCATGTGATGATAATGGCCAAGTTGCATAATCTGAACGGGCCTCATTGGCCCCATTTCCTCCATTGCCTCTGTGACCCTTAGCATGCAAATCCATGTGGCTAGAGGCCTCTCTGGTAATGAGCTAGATCAAATAGTTCAACTTTGTCAATAGACAATATCTTGGAAGGTTTGTAAAGATTTATTTTTAGAGCATGTTTGATACCATCGGTTACTTTTGAGCCACATTGCTTCACCATTCAACGTCTATTAGTGTAATACTAAAATAATGAGTCTCTTAGGCTGTGTTGAATCTGATTTGGTATTACATTTTTTATTTGATTATACAGCTGAAACAATCCACACAGGCCCTCAAGTTTGTTTTGTGGGTAAGCTCACAAGATATAATTTCTTCTTCCTACTTTAATTTCTACATTAAATTTGTAAAGCTTAGGCATTCACTGAAGCTATTGGCGCTGTAGGACAGAAAAAGAACCTATGTTGGGATATAGTTATGGTTGCATTTAAAAAAAAAAATACATCTTTTCCCTTTGTTGTTGTCTAATTATTATATTATGCTTCTAGGCCTGTGGTACTTTTTGGTACAATTTATTGACAAAAATAATTTTACAGCTGTACAGTTATAATAGAACAATACAATGAAGACAGTTTTTCCTGCTGACTAAATCTATCACCCTGTCTTAAGGACTTGTTGATGTGAGTTCTGTGACTTTGGTTTATAATTACTGATAAATAATTATTGCCTATGGAGCTTGGTATGGCTATCAGGTGTTTTATAGCTACATCTTTAAGTTTTCAAAAAAGAAACAATGTTTTGACACAAATACTCTTTGTTATTTTGCAGGCAGATCTTCTGATGACCTAATGGAACATAATTTACAGTTACTGCTGTTTTGGGTCCTGGTGCTGCATTATGGTTCTGCTGAAGGCAGTATCCTGTATCGGGTCCAGGAGGAGCAGCCTCCCAACACTCTTATTGGTAGCCTGGCAGCAGACCAGGGCCTGCCAGACTCGGGTCATCTCTACAAGCTGGAGGTTGGTGCCCCTTACCTTCGCGTCGATGGAAAGACGGGCGACATTTTCACCACAGAGATTCCCATAGACAGAGAGACCCTGAGGGACTGTCGATCCCTGGCTAAGGGTAAGCCCTGCTACCTGGAATTTGAAGTATCAGTGACAGATCTGATACAAAACCAGAGCCCACGACTGATTGAAGGACGCATAGAGGTACAGGACATCAATGACAACACTCCACAATTTCCCTCTTCTGTGCTCACCATCTCTGTCCCCGAGAACACCATCATGGGGGCATTATTCTCCATACCTCTAGCTACAGACAGGGACTCAGATAGGAATGGGGTGGCGGATTATGCTCTGACTGCAGGGCCAGACGCCGCAACCCTATTTGGTTTACAGGTGGCTGACGACAGGGGCGGGAAGCTCCCACAGCTCATTGTCCTGGGCAACCTGGATCGTGAGTTAAAGGATTCCTATGACCTCACCATCAAGGCAGTGGATGGAGGAAACCCTCAGCGCTACAGCAGTGCTTTGCTGAGAGTGGTAGTCACTGACGCCAATGATAACTCTCCCAAGTTTGAAAAGTCCACGTATGAGGCAGAAGTGTCAGAGAACAGCCCAGTGGGTCACTCTGTGTTGCAGGTAAGATTGTAATACAAATATACTTTCTTTTAAGACTTTAAGAATTTTCTTTTAAATCAGATCCGAATGAGGTAAATTGCAAACGAAATTGTTTGTGCTGCTTGATGTTATGTTTTGAATTTTATACTCAGCAATGAATAAACCAAGCAATTCTCAGCCAATTTATCATGATGTTTTTGAAAATTAGTCTCTGTGTCATATTTGTTCAGTGTTTATTCCTCAGTTACAGCCCTAATGTATAAATCTGAATCAAACATAGATATTTTTATTCTGGCGTCATGCTTTCAAATATTTAGAAATAGCTTTACAATTTTGAATGTTGTGATCAAAATTTAACCTTTAATCAAGATGTCTGGGGACACCAAGGCCACATTTAGTTCTTGTCAATTCACATACCTTCATCATATTTATGTTTTTTAAAATTAATTTTATGCAAGTTGTTTCACGCTTATTACTCTAATGTGAATTTTTAAATCATACTAGAAGTATTAGAGCATTAGCATGTTATGCTTGTACAGGTAATTAAGCTGCTTATTGCTTTTGTTGTGCTATTATACTTGAGGAAATAGAGTTTGAAATACACAATGTTGGAGTGTAGGAGTAAGATACTGTGTAGGATTTTGTCTACATACCGCTGTGAAATTGCACTGACTGTCATGAAAGCAACAGCAGCCCTAATATTTTGCCATATGTTTTCATGTGAACCCTTTCTCTATTCCATTTTTTGCAATAAAAGAAAGGGGGAAAAGAGAAAAAAAGGCCAGTGACATGAACATAAAAAGCAGAGAGGAGGCACAGTAATGAAATATGCCCAAATAAAGCTCACTTGCTGCACTTTGAAGTGATCAGACATCCGTTGATTAATTTATTAATCAATTCATTGACCAATGATTAGTAGAGAAAATCCTACACTGGCTCCCCTTTAATTCTAAAAAACTGTTGCACATAAATCATGCCTATAACCACAGAATTTCTTTTGTTTTAGGTCAAAGCAAATGACTCTGACATGGGCCCTAATGGAGAAATTGAGTACACCCTTCACCAAGCAGTAGACCCAGTGCCGAAACTGTTACGAATTGATCGGTCCACTGGCATTATCTATGTCAAAGGACCACTGGACAGAGAGGAAATCAGCAGCTTGTCCTTCTATGTGGTGGCGAGGGATAAGGGTCCTCAACCTAAAAGCTCTAAGACATTTGTAACTATTGAGGTGACTGACCAAAATGACAATGCTCCTGCTGTGGAGATTCGTGGGATTGGCCTTGTGACACACAGTGAAGGAGTGGCTAACATTTCAGAGGACATGCCAGTGGGAACAGCTGTTGCTCTGGTCCAAGTGTCTGACAAGGATGAAGGAGAGAATGCTGTGGTTACTTGTGTGGTTGCAGGAGACGTACCCTTCCAGCTTCGCCCTGCCAGCGACTCATCCAGTGACAACAAGAGGAAGTATTTCCTACAGACCACCACTCCTCTCGACTACGAAAGAGTTAGGGATTACAGAGTAGAGATTGTGGCTGTGGATTCTGGAAATCCAGCACTCTCTAGTACAAACTCTTTGAAGGTGCAGGTGACTGATGTGAATGATAACTCCCCAATATTCTCCCCAACCTTGTTTGAGGTAGATTTTGCTGAAGAAAACCAACCAGGGGAGAAGGTTTTGGATGTTACAGCTTCAGATGCTGACAGTGGCACTAATGCAGAACTTCTCTATAATATTGTTGCAGACTCATCCATCAAAGGTCTGTTTGAGATTGACCCAAATACGGGTGAAGTAAGAGCCCGAAGCCCACTTGACCGAGAGCATAAAGAACGCTATGAGTTCCGGGTCACCGCAGCAGATAAAGGGTCACCTGTACATAAAGGAACAGCAACTGTCGTCATAAAAGTCCTTGACCGCAATGACAATGACCCCAAGTTCATGCTTAGTGGCTACAGCTTTTCGGTTTTGGAAAACATGCCTCCCCTCAGTCCAGTTGGCATGGTGACAGTCCTGGATGTGGACAAAGGTGAGAACGCTCGTGTTCACCTCTCCGTAGAGCCTGATGGAGGGAAGTTTGTCGTTCAAAATGGAACTGGCACCATTCTTTCAAGCATCTCATTTGACAGGGAGAAAGAAAGCAGCTACACTTTCCGTCTGAAAGCAGTGGATGGAGGAGAGCCACCCAGGTCTTCATATGTTGGCGTTACCATCAACGTACTGGATGAAAATGACAATGACCCTGTTGTCACCAAGCCCTCCAATTCCTCCTTCAGACGACTGTCACCTCTAGCTTCCCCAGATAGCCATGTTGAGGTAGTGGAAGCTGAAGACCTGGATAGTGGGCCTAATGCAGAGCTGGTCTTCAGTATTGCTGGTGGAAATCCTTACCAGTTATTTCGCATCTCCCCCTCCAGTGGGGAGATCACTCTAGCAAAAGAGATGACCCGGAAACACGGTGGGCTACATCGCCTAGTGGTGCGAGTGAGTGACAGGGGGAAGCCTGCACGTCATGCCACTGCCCTGGTCCACATCTATGTCAATGAAACCATTTCAAATGTCAGCTTAGTGGAGGCCCTAGTTGGACACAGTCTTTACACTCCACTGGACAGGGACATTGCTGGTGATCCTGACAATGGTTTTGCTGCACAGCGTAGTAATATTTTGTTTGGAAGTCTTGCTGGTGTGGCGGGTGTTGTCATGTTGATCTTGGTGGTGGTATTTATTCGCCACCGCATCCAGAGAGAGACTAAGAGTGGGTATCAGGCTGGCAAGAAGGAAACAAAAGACTTATACGCTCCGAAACAGGTGCCAAAGAATGCCAAAGGCAAACGAGGAAGGAAAGGAAAACCTCAGAAGTCCCCAAAACCACCTCGGGAAGATGAGGAGGTCAGCCTTCAAAAGGGTCTCAAGTTCAACCTTGATGGAGTCAATGATAGCCCCAGGATACACCTGCCCTTAACATATTCACCAGGAAGCCCTGATATAGGCAGGCACTACCGCTCCAATTCCCCCTTACCCTCCATCCAGCTGCAGGCCCAATCCCCCTCAGCCTCACAGAAGCATCAGGCTGTCCAGGACCTTCCTGCCGCCAACACCTTTGTAGGAACAGGAGGAGATGACAACTCTACCGGCTCAGACCAGTATTCAGATTACAGCTACAAGACAAACCAACCGAAGTACAACAACAAACAGGTAAAGTTATTCCTTACATAATGCAACTACTGTCTAGATTGTCTGTTAAAAGAGTGGGTGTCACATTGTTTGTGGATGTTGAAGAAGGGTAATTCAATTATAGAATTCAAATCATTCTTATTGTGTGCAACAGTTTTAAAATACCATATTGGATGAGCAACCTTCATGTAGGACTATCTTGTCAGCTAGAGTACCATACCATGATCTACTTACAACGCAATAACATGATATCACTTTTGTATAATTTGAATCTCTTTTTGTACCGTTCTGCCATTAGTCAAGATTGTAAAAATGTAAAATAATACTTAAAATGTATCACAGATTTGATTGTTTCACAATTTTTTTTTTTTTTTATATGGTCACATGGATGACCGTAATATGCTTTGGGAAAGATGCAATTATATTTACAGTTTTTTTGGATTACACTTATAGATAGAATATAGTATCACTTATTTCTCTTAACATTAACTGCAGTGACGTGCTGTCTTACTATTTGTTTTGCTCTCATGTAACTTCTCTGGAGGGTGAAATTGGATATACAAAGAAAGTTGCTGCAAAAATGATTAACTCCAGGTATGTGTTCAAGTGTTGCACTACTAGAAAAGTTGGATGGTCCTTTATATTTTGTTTTTCCATCCGGTTGGCAGTGGAGTTGAGCAGGGAAGGTCCATTTCTCAGTGACTTACTTCTGCTCTTCTGCCTGACCTATAGTGCTCTGATCTCTGCAGGTCACTTGCTCTTATCTCCCTGCTCCTTATGCTCTTATCTCCTCTTATCTCTACAACATTTGGCAAGGCTCAAATCGCCATGGAAACAGAAATATTAATAGACTCAGAGGGGATTACTAACGGAAAAATTGTAGAGTCTAGGGATAGAAAGCTAGTGTGTCTCTAGGTTTCTGTGTCATCTTAGGTGTGTGAATGTGTGTCCTGAACTAGACAAGTGTAGATGTGTATTTGTATTTGTGTGTGTTCAGGGGGGACTACCATTATCCTACATAGTACAACTTTCTGTATTGTACATCAAAATGTATATCCATATGTTATGATTATTAAAGGGACATTGTGTAGGAATTTCTCCCATCTAGCGGTGAAATTGTATTTTGCATTCAAACGAATACTGCTCTCTAGTGCCTCGCATTTTCAAATGCGTATTGCAACTACGGTAGGCGTTATGTACCAAGAAGCCTACCTGTCGAGGAGAAAGCAGGCAACTTCAGCGTCCCTTTGAAAGTCTTTCTCCTTCATTAGCTCTTTCCAGCTGGGAAAAGCTACCCCGATGTTTGCCCTTGTTTTTTGAAGACGCCGGTCACGTTGCCTTTTTAATTCCCTTTTTTGCTTTTTTGGCTACGAGCATTCCTTCTCCTGTGGCTCGGCATGAGTATGATCCTCCATTATTAACTAAAGTGCAGGGCAGACTTTCAAATGTGCCGGGGCAGTGACAAGTGCCTCTCACTGATCTCCTTCTCCGTTATAGCTGGTTTCAGTCACGTGACGCTGGCTCTGAACGAAAACACGTTGTGGATTAGCTAGACAGGTAGGCTAGTGCTTTGTGTCCCTCTCGGCGATTATAGTTTTTCAAAATGGCAGAACGACGTGGAAGCCTCCATGGACTTGCCCGTCCAATGTATATACAGATAAGAAATTCTTCGCTTATGAGGATAAGTCAGATCATTGGCAGAGGTAATTTTACATCAATGAGGACACATTTATGAATGAAGACATTGATTTTAGCTAATAAAATACTTAAAACACTACACAATGTCCCTTTAAGACAGTTACACATGGACTATTGAAATGCACGTTACTTTTTCCATTAACATTAACTGAACCTTAATTCTACATAAGAAAAAGAATCACCCAGTGTCAGTAGGAGGTAGAAACAATATTGCATAAGTTCAAAGAGCCCCCAAATCCAAAGACTCCCTACTACAGGGGCATTCCTTCTCAAACAAACGTAGTGTATTCATGATCGGCAACTTAACATGACTGATAGTTATTGCCCCCTTTGAACTTAAGTGAGTGCTAACTGATGTATTTGTAAATCAAATAAATAGTGACTTGCTCTAACAATGCAATAGTCATGTTGTCACAGACATATTCAATTCATGTCCAGCATTTTTTTATTGAAAATATTTGACATTGATGTGCACAATTTATTTTAATCCGAGACGAGTTGACATCAGCTTCAAGACACTTCCATACATCAAATCCCTGTGTCATACATACAAAACAGTTTGACGTTCTCCCTAGGCTTTGCAGATAAAGTTTGCAACATAAAAATTAACAAAAAAAGAAGTGGGAAATATGCCACTGAGTTCTTTACATGGGTAGGTGACACATTTTCTGTGGAGATATCTTCAGAGCCAGTATCACAGTTGGCTGGTTGGTAGTTTCAGCAGATGCTAGCTGACAGCTTAGGTGATCACAAGCCTTTGTGGGTGGAGTCAGTTTAGACAACAGTCACCACTGTCTCCTTGATGGACAACATAAGGGACCAAAATGACTGCGAGCCACGGGTTGTGTCTGGGTATTTGTGTGTAGTGCCAATCTCTGCGTTTGTGTGTAGATTTGCTGCTTAGTAAAAGAGTGTTAATTGTAACTGTGGCACAGATGTAAGCTCTCAGCACTTGACAGTGTTTGTGGTTTCTCAGTATGATAACATAAATGCGTATCAGACATGACTCAAGTGATTGACAGTCTGTGTAAAAACATGGACAGATGTTGAAGCTCATGTGACATACCTCAGCAGATGTTGTCTCATGTATGGCATCCCCTCTCACATCAGGAAGAACAGATTGACCAAAATATATAATTAAAGTAACTGCCAAGTGATGTGACAGATGTAGAGTGGTGCCCTTGCTTTAATTAACTGTGCAACACTCAACAATGGCTTTTCATTGGGAATGTGTTCAGGTGTCTAGGTTTGTACAAAACTTCTTGATATTATGTCAAATTACAGCTTGTGTGTTTACAGAGTACGAGCACACGGAATATGTAGTTTTTTTCTTTAAAGGATTGTACCACAAAGCTTAGCTGTGTAACTATGTGCAGCATTATCATTATTTTTCTCTAACTCCCTCGAGCTTTAATTAAAGGCATTTTACTTATGAACACCAAACTGTTGTTGAGTGAAATCAGTCCGTGTTCAAGAAACAAAAGAAGTCAGATCTGGAAACTGTGTGTGTTGGTTTTGTGCTTAAGCACTATGTTGAGTTTTAGACATTTCAAACATGAGGATATTTTGCCTTTTTCTAATTTTTTTAAAGGACTTGTTGTTTGGCTTTAGGTTAGATTAGGTTCAGGATAAGGGTTGGGGGAGAAAAATGTAATCATTTAAGGCTCAGGTTAAGATTAGGGACTAGAGAATGCATTATGTCATATATCTAAGGCCCACATAGACAGCCCTGATGGAAATAAATGTGTTTGCAAATGTATGCATGTGTAAAAGCGGTAGATTTGGTAGGTAGTGGTAGGTTAGGGCTGTATATAAATATTAATTAATTATTAATTAATTCACCACTAATATGCATTGACTAATAATAGAGACAAGTATTAGACATACTGTATTGCACGGGGGAATAACTGTCCTAATATCTATTTAGCCTTGTTAGCTGCACCTTTTTAACTCTAGATAATGTATATTATACACAATAATTGATTTGTCCAGTAGAATATATTTAATTTATTCACCAGATAATATTTTAATTTTACTGAAACGTCTGCACATATAAATGTTTTCCTTGAGAACAATACCAGAATATTTAAATACTGTCTATTCAAGAATTGCTTGTTGGAGGTGCCAAAACCCACACAGCTGTTTCAGTTGTCCTTATTTGATCACAGCATTATCTAAGTATGTGCTAACTATGTGTTGTTGAATATATGTTGTTTCCTACACTAGGAGCTTGTACTGCTATCAATACAAGAAGCATTTTGATCTTCTCCCAAGACTCTGTAGAGAATTCTTCAGCCCTGTAATTGCTTTAGATTAACCCACTTTGGAACAGAATTCCTGAAATGCCGTTTCCGGGCTATAATATATTATAACAGACATAATGCCTCTAGACACAGTTGAAGGCAGTTGGGCAAAAAATATCCATTGCCTCACAGCAAATTCAAAATAAATCCTTTTTCTAAAATGCTCGTTCCCCCCCTAAAAAAATAAAAACAGAAAATGACAGGAATAGACTCAGACATCCGAAACCCTTAACCACAGTAGTAACCAGCAGTTGTCATGTACTCTGTGTGTCTAGAACCAATGAAATTCAGAACCATGGACAGTGCTTTTTGCTGCCAACTGTTCCAAAGCCTCTGTGCAGATGGAGTACCGCTGCATCCCGAGCGGAGAGAAAGATGACAGGCCCGTGTGAGGCTTATATAGACAGACTCCTGTCCTCCGCAGTCCTTTGTCAACACTCTTTAGAATTATACCAAACACTAATTAAATGTTTGAAATGTTAAATTTAAAAAAAGCCCATATTTCACTATAAGTGATGAAAGCCCACCAACACCTAGACAATAAAAAGACACCTGAGCCAATCCTCCTCCTATTTCTGATAAGAAAAACTAATTTCTTTACTAAGAAAAAGCCCTAACAAGTGCAAATGTACCACCTAACACACCCAAAATGTTTTTATACTAGATTTAAACAAACAGTATGAGCTGTCTGCCTGATAGGGTGCTATATCCCTGTGCTCAACAGAGGTCCTTACAATTGCTTCCATACTGCTTGCACCTGTTTGGGTAATATTGTAATTAAAGTGGGGACACTGGGAATTTTCCTCAGGGTCTTGGCAAGGTAAACAACTCTCGGGTGTATGTCGCAATTTTGTTATTGAGGCTGGGTAGGCATTTACATGCAGGAAAGTATGGATATTTCAAAGGAATAATTACCAAAATGGAAATATTCATCATGGAAGATCTCTCTCACCACGTTGTCACACTGCTGCTTTACATTTGTATATAGAAACGACATGGTAAGCTTTACATTTCTAAAAC